TTCTATTCTAATTTTAATTCTATTCTATTCTGTATTATTCTATTCTATTCATCATGGCTAATCTGTGATTATTAATTATGGCCAATCCTACAACAGGCAAGCAACCACGCACCAAGAGAAAAATCCACACGAACAGCTACAATGTTGGGTGGACCAGGCAAAGCCCACACTGACCGTCCCGGAATGTATGTCCCCTTTTTCTTAGAATAGAATAGAGCTGGAAGGGGCCTTGGAGGTCCTCTAGTCCAACCTGCTGCTCGAACAGCAGAACTTATACCCTCTCAGACAAGTGACGGTCTAGTCTCTTCTTCAAAACCTTCGTTGAAAACGCCAACAAAAGCATGAAAAACATCGATAGTTTTGCTGTTCCAAAGAGAGAGAAAGAGAGAGAGAAGACTGGACCAGTGGTGGTATGCTACCGGTTTGCCCCAGTTCAAATGAACCGGTAGTAAAAATCACTACCTATTCCCATGATGGCGAACCTCTGGCGCACCATTTGTGCGGGCACACGAGCCCCAGCCAAACTTACCTGCACTGCGCATGCGCACACCTCCCAGCTGATTTTCGGACCGTTTGAGGCCTTTTTCGCCCTCCCAGAGGATCGAAGCAAACCTCTGCAGCCTCAGGAGGCCGAAAAACAGGCCTTCCGGAAATACCAGAAGTGCCTGTTTTCAGCCTCCGGAGCCCGGGGAGGCCATTTTCAACCTCCTGGGGGTGCTTGAGGGAAGCCTCTGCAGCCTTTGGAGGCCAAAAAAATGCACCCTTTTTGGCACTGAAATACCGGGAGTGCCAAAACGGGTCCATTTTTTGGCCTTCCGAGGCTGCAGAGGCTTCCCTCGAGCCTCCGGGAGGGCGAAAAAGGACTCAAACGGGCTGAAAATCAACTGGGAGGTGCACGCATGCGCAGTACAGGTAAGGGGGTGGGGGGGGTTGCATAAGCATGTGCAGGGGCCTGCATTGCATTGTGGGTGCTGGCATGTGCATGCTTTCATCACACCCCACAGCAAAAAGGTTCGACATCACCAACCTATTCGATCACCCACCAAACCAGTAGCAACTCAGGTAGGATCCCACTACGGGACCGAACATCCAATTCTCCAAAGTTAGCCTCCTTTTCGAGGAAGGAGAACCACGCAGGCATTCCTCAAGTTACGACCATTCATTTAGCCACCGCTTGAAGTTACAAACAGCCCTGAAAAAAGGGGGACTTAGGATTATTTCTCATGATTAAGGACCACGGTAGCATCTCTGTGGTCCAAAATTCGGACTCTTGGCAACTGACTCATACTTATGATGGTTGGGGCATCCCGGGAGGGGTCATGCCATCTCCTTTTGTGACCTTCGGATGAGCGAAAACAATGGGGGAAGCCAGATTTGCTTAACGACCACATCGTTAACTTAACAAATGCAATGATTCACTTAACCATGATGGCTAGAAAAGTCGGGCGAACTCCCTTAACCAATGTTTCACTTAGCGATCTAAATGTTGGGCTCAATTGTAGTTGTAACTTAAGGACTATTTATCTGTAAATCCATCTGTCTATCTATCTACCTACCTATCTACCATCTTCTTCTAATGACCCCATTAAAAGGAGTGGAGTCTGGGCAACTGAATGGAGCTAAGCATTTACTGGCCGGATGCCCTTCCCGTCACCAACACGGAGTTATATTCAGTAAATATATTCGTCTATCTATCTATCTATCTATCTATCTATCTATCTATCTATCTATCTATCATCTATCTCTATTATCTATCTATCTATCTATCTATCTATCTATCTATCTATCTATCTATCTACTTCTTATGACCCCATAATCCTTTGCAGGGCGGACTCTGGGCAACTGAATGGAGCTGAGTATTTACTGGCCAGATGCCCTTCCCATCACCAACATGGAGTTATATTCAGTAAATATATCTGTCTGTCTGTCTGTCTGTCTATCTATCTATCTATCTATCTATCTATCTATCTATCTATCTATCTATCTATCTATCTATCTATCTATTTCATTTAATGACCCCATAATCCTTTGTAGGATGGAGTTTGGGCAACTGAATGGAGCTGAGTGTTTACTGGCCGGATGCCCTTCCTGTCACCCATGTGGAGTTATATTCAGCAGATCTATTCCTTCCTTCCTTCCTTCCTTCCTGTCTGTCTGTCTGTCTGTCTGTCTGTCTATATACTTCTAATGACCCCATAAATCCTTTGCAGGGTGGAGTCTGGACAACTGAATGGAGCTAAGTATTTACTGGCTGGATGCCCTTCCCATCACCAACACAGAGTTATATTCAGTAGATATCTCTGTCTGTCTGCCTGCCTGCCTGCCTGCCTGTCACCAAATCATCTCTGGTGTTGCTGGTGGCTCAGTCTTAGGCCAGCCCGGCCCTTGCTACTTCCTTGGTTTCCATCCCAGTGTTTTGGGGGGATTTGGCAAGCGTGGAAAGGTGGAGTTAGATTCCCAACTGGCCAACCCAAGGCACAACTACTTCCCCCCTTGCCTTGGGCTACTACTCTTCGATCCTTTCCAGCTACGGAGACTCTCCATCATCCAGGTCACGGGGGTCCCAAAAGTGCTTTTTGCAAAAGGCAACTGGACTTCCTTGCGGTTTCCTTTCCTCCTCCTCACCCAGGAAGTTTTTTTTTCAGTCCCTGCTGTATTTTTAAGGTGCTTTGAGGAAACTCTTTGACCTGGAAGGATCCCACACACACACACACAACTCCATCCCTCCCAGATCCAACACAAGAAGAGAAGGCCCCGTGCAAACTTCCAGCTGCCTTTCTCTCTCTTTCTCCCAGATGATTAAAGGCCCGGGAGTAAAACGCGTGAAGAACGGTTGCAGGAACTGGGTTTGGCTAGTCTAGAGAACAGAAGGACCAGGGGAGACATGAGAGCAGTCTTCCAGTAGTTGAGGGGCTGCCCCAAAGAAGAGGGAGTCAAGCTATTCTCCAAAGCAGGACAAGAAGCAATGGGTGGAAACTCATCAAGGAGAAAAACAACCTAGAATTCAGGAGAAAGTTCCTAACTGTGAGGACAATTAACCAGCAGAACTGCTTGCCACCAGAAGTTGTGGGTGCTTCATCACTGGAGGTTTTTAAGAAGAGACTGGAGAGTCACTTGTCTGAAATGGTATGGGGCCTCCTGCTTGAACGGGGTTGGACTAGAAGACCTCCAAAGTCCCAACTCTTGTTATTCTGAATAGTTTGCCTTCAGAAGTTGGGAGTGACTTCATCACTGGGGGCTTTTAAAGGACTGGACAGCCCCTGTATTTTTAAATGGGATAGGTTCTCCAGCTTGAAGAGAAGAGGGGGTTGGACTAGAGGACCTCCAAAGTCCCAACTCTTGTTATTCTAGTTTGCCTTCAGAAGTTGGGAGTGGCTTCATCAC